AGTCTCTTTTTATTTGTTAGTCTATGGTCTTGCCGGGTGATAATCAAAGGCCAAAATGACATTCGTCGCAAATTTTGAAGTATAATTAGTGGAAAATTTAAAAGTTTGTTAACTTTTTCCATTAATTGAAAATTCCTATTACTAAATTTGACATTCTGAATGCTTACATTCAAATTATAGGAATAAATTTCTACGCTAATTGAAACCACTAATTTATTCCACTAATTGCGAGGTTCTGAATGAAGCTTTAGCCACTTTAATTCATACTTTTACAAATAATATAATAATAATATTTATTTCATTGACTTTTGTTACATTTCAAGGTAATATCAAAGTATCTCGTTGACCAATGTTTGTTTTATTTATATTTATTCAGGAGTACTTAAATTGTATGTCGTTGAATGTAGAATGAATGAGGGTACTGAAAAGTTATAGAGCTCTGCGTTTGGCAGTCTTTTCTTTCCTGCTGACCACAGGGACCTAAAACCTTTTAATGGTTTCAAGGGCCATTTTTGTCGATATTAGTTATACGAATCTCCTCTCCGTTTGTAATAAATCTTGCCTATGTGGGCTCTAATGGCCGTTTCGAGAAATAATTAAACTGTCATGGGGAACAGACACTGAGGTTACTGATTTGTCGCTTGACAGGAGAGTATTTGTCTGCCCACGCCTTAAAACACGAGTGTATGTATGGTCTACACAGCGGAGAATCGTTTTCTAAAGTGACAGTTGTTTGTATATTTAAGAATATAGAAATATTGTTTTTGAAATAAATAAATAAAAAAAATTAAGATCCAATTAGGTATTGTAATTAGTACCTAATACAATTAATTTTGCTCTTGTATTGTAACACAAAATATATTTCCGTTATATTTTAAAATTTATAATATGGAAATAAAATGGAAAAATCAAATTGGTTAAAAAGTTATCTTTAAAAACAGTAATTCTTTCTATTTTGATGTATTTTTTAGCCGACCATACCAACAGGTATGGTAGGCTATTAAGATCGGGAAAAAAGAGTTTTTTTAATTTCACTCAATATGAGTTGTTTGGGTCATAAATGACCTAAATACAAAATATTTTCATGGTGTCTGTCTGTCTGTCTATCTGTCCGTCTGTCTGTAACACGATAACACAAAAACCGCTAAACCGATTTTAACCAAATTTGGTACAAAAATATTGTGGCACCCGAGAATCTGGCCATTATTTTTTGGTGGGGGTGGGGGGTTGGTAAGGGGGTATGGAAGGGGGTTAAAAATTTTAAAATATCATAACTCCAAAATTACAGTAGCTAGCGAAACGCCGGTTTTCAATTTAAGATAGATTATTTTTGAGATAAAAAAAATTGGAAAAATTCCTTTACTATGAAACTAAAAGAACTGCCTACCAACTTTTTATTAACATATTTTAGTATGGGCGGCTATACGTGCATCCCGGGGCCAATTTTTTTAAAATTGATCCATCCTTTATCAAAGTATATCTGTGGTAAAAGTATAAAAAGAAAATATGTATTCTCTTTAAGGCCAAGTTGGCTGCCTCTGCAAGTCAATATTTTGTTTTCTTTTTATTTTCTTTTATTTTCTCTTTGATACTTTTATATACTTCATCAGTCATTGCTACTATCATAATTAAAAGCCTATTACTAGCCTAATATATTTTGTGACGGCTTACTTTGAATTGGCATGTCATGCACTAGATATAGATGGGTCACTGATATAAAACAAATAGATCCGTCATTTAGAGCGGCCTGGTGATCCGGAAGAAACTAATCGAGAGTTTAGGCATAACATAATTTTAGAATTCCGTTATTTATTAATGCTAACTTAAACGGTAACGTTATTCAAGCGCAAAGTTATTCCTTGTAAGATACAAAATAATAAATGTAGACTTTTTTTACTACAATTTACGTTTTATTAGACCATTAGAAATGTAACATAGATAAAACGAAAATAACATTATGAATGTTTATGAACATTTTGAAACCCCAACAATAGAGGACATAGCGCCTATTTTTTATTTAACAAATAAATTATAATATAGTAAAAATATTACAGACTACTAATTAACTGTTACCTACTTAAACACTACATATATTACTAGCTATGTACTTACTGATTTATGATTAAACTATTTTTTTTTTATTTTGTTTATAAATTTATTATTTCTAAAATATCAAATTGTTGTAAAAAATGTCAAAATGTCAAAAATGTGTTTGGTAAAAAAATTAATTAACTGTTGGCAGCACACGCCATCCACTCTGCGCCGACAACTTGTTGCGAAAGATACAAACAAAACATAGACACTTTGATCTTTACCGACTCGAGACGGGACATTGAAAAGTCTCCAAATTTTGAAACAAAAATGTCGCAGAAATGCATTGGATTTGTCACAACTTTGTCGTAAAACACGAATGTTTATGTCTTATCCCTGTTTTGTCTGCTTGGTCTGGACCCGGCATAACACGAAAATGATAAGCTACTGTAAATATATAAAAAACACAGGAATAAACAAACTAATAAAAACACAAACTATAAACACAAATCACCGAACTTTTAGACAAACCAGAAAAATCTGAATTAATAATTACTTAAATAATGACTTAGAAATAGCTTGACGGATCACCAACATTTTGTCGACCAGACTGCAACTAAACCATAGACGGTGGTCAACACAGAGGCCATCTTCATATATAAATTAGAAACCTGTACTTTTGCGCCGTCTGGCGATGCGGAAGAAACTAAATTTGTAGTTCTATAGAATTACCATTGAGTGTCTGGGCCTACTCGCTACCACTTACAGATATTCACGTCTCTATCCAACACACGGAGACAGCAACGAAGTCACATAGGTATATAGACTGTATGTGCAGGACGTAATTGTTATTACAATTACGTCCTGCACATTGGTTCCTCCATTTTTTAAAACAAAGTATTGAAAGGAGTTTAGCTGGCAATCACTAATGGAGCGACGCGACGCGCGACGGAGGAGTCATAGCGGAGTATGATTATTGAAATGCAGAGCCGTCATCATTGGGTTCGGCCAAGTCACTTCGAACATATATTTTCAGATAAATAACATTAATTGCAATAATAAAGTATTTTGCTTTTGTTCGTGTGTCGTGTGACAATTTAAAGGAGATATATTCTAAAGATTGGTATTTCCCTGTTAAATAACAAAGTATGTTTAAATATACATTGCGTGCTGACTAACTCCGAATTTTCTGGTGTTTTGTTGCATTCATTTTGTGGTTCGGCAGTCACTGCCAAGGCCACTACGCAAAATGTATAACAAACCTTGTGCTGTTTTGCAGCCGATTGAATAAATAACATAATATAGATCGGTGGCAAATAGTCGCATACACACAAAGAGTTAAATAATTCAAATATCCGATTCCAGACTTAATGGTTATTTTTGCAATCCGCAAATTGTTAATAACAGTTGGGTGTGTACATTCAAAACAACTTGTTTACAATATTCACTTATTATTTTTTTCAACGTGTTTACCTATCTTATTTTACTGAATTTAATTTTTTAACATATTTTTTTTTCACAATAAAATACTTTATTTTTTACACCGGGCGTGTCTGAAAAGTGGCTCATCCCTATAACTTTTTTAAATTTTCAGATAAAATAACGAGATTTGTTAGGTTAGTATACGACATAAATTAGGATTGATTGGCGTATTCAGTGGTCATTTCCTGTTTCACTGGACATAACTACAACTTTTGATTTTTCAATGGCACTCTCGGTATTTTTTTACTTTATTCGATAGAAAATGACACTTTGAATGGAATGACATATCATGTCAACTTTTGGACATTCTCCCTTAAAAAATCTTACTTTAAATTTCAATTTTTTGGCTGTTTTAAAAACACTAATTTTTAATCAAGGAGCCTTATTGGAAAAATAGATTTGATCGTCTAATATTTTTCGTGTCTTGTCATGGCCGATTAAAATAGATGCCCAAATCGTATTTTTAATCATATCTCAATGTTTCCAAATGGAACAAGAGTTGCTCATTAACATATTTGGAAAAAACATTTTTACGAATAATTTTGGTACCACACACTTGGTATTTCGAGTCAAATTATTGTCGTTATGAACCGCATGTTACAATTTCAAATAAACCATATGCCAAAATGTCAAAAGTAGACATATGATATGTCATTCTATTCAGAGTGCCATGTTATATTGAATGAAGTAAAAGAATACTGAGGGTGTCATTAAAAATAAAAAAATTTAGTCATTTACGGTGAAAGAGGAAGTGACCAAAAACAATTGAATATGTCAATATGCCTAATTTATTTCATATACTTACTAACATACTAAATCTCGTTTATAGCATAACCCCTAATTTAACTCACTAAACTCGAGTATAAGAAGCATTATTTACTGAAAATATACAGAATGGACATTAATATTATGGCTGTAGAAATTTCTTAGTAATCTTTTTTTATGTACTTGTACCGAGACTTGTACTAATTTATTTTAATTCATTTTCTTTCATTAAGTTTGTGCTGTTAATAACACGAATGGGTGTAGTAAAAAGTTCGTTAGTATAATTTAGTTATTACAGTTGAGGGTTGGAACCTTTGGTGTTACACAGCAAAATAAAAACACTAAATCACCACAATACACCAAAACACTTTTACTTTTACACTGGACGCGCGTTTCGCTAACCATGTTAGCATCATCAGCAGATGATTATAAACTACTATTACTATTGAGTTTATCTGCTGTTTTGGTGTATTGTGGTGATTTAGTGTTTTTATTTTGCTGATAATTTAGTTACTTAAGTTTATGTCACATATTTTCTTGGTTTAGCTGTATATTTATAGTTACTAAACTGGACACCGCCATGCAAGATCTGAAGTATTATTCATATTCATTTGTCTATAAGCAAATTAATTTAAACGTGGTATTCAAATATGGGTATCTTTACAATATATTTTTATTTACAGTGTATTTTACTTTATTAAACTTTTCTATTTTTTTTTCAGGCTGACTGGTGGAGCTAATGGAATTTTTACTCGTCGTCTAGACTTCAGTTCATTCAACACACTCCCAAAGAATAAATTAAATTCTTATCAAATTAAGGTAAGAAAATTCGTTTATTATACTAAAATTATCCTTGTATAGGAAACAGTTATAAATAATAAGCATACCTAATACACAACCGTCAAATTTTAAGTTGCTTTTTATGAATCATCATTGGTATTATTGTCCGGAATTATGAAGATAATAAACGCACAAATAGTTTATTACAAATTTAGAGCCATATGGATATAGATTTATAAAAATACCCATCTTAGACGCTATCTTGATAAAAATAAATACTCACAATCTATCTTATTTTAAATACAATTTACTTTACATAAAGATTTTATGTAAATGATATGATAAAAACCTATATACATTTATATTTCTAAGTTATATTTATTTCTATTGCATACCGGGTGTTTTTCAAAAGTAGCTCGCCCCTATAACTTTTTTTATTTTTTCAGATAAGAAAATGGAATTTGGTATGTTAGTATATGATATAAAACGGGATTGATTGACGTGTACAATTATTATTTTCCACTGTCACTTCCTGTTTCACAGGAAACGACTCCAAGTTTTGATTTTTAAATGGTACCCTCGGTATTTTTTTACTTAGATAGAATGACATATCATAATAATATGTCAATTTTTGATGTGCAAACGAAACACAAAAAATAGCATTTTAAGTTTCAATCTAGAGTGTCACGACTGTGTTAAAACCCTTAACTTTTATTCAAGAAACTTTGGAAAAATAGATTTGATCGTCTAATGTTTTTGGTGTCTCTTTTCGCCGGTTAAAAGAAGCCCAAATCGTATTTTTAATCATGACTCAATTTTTTCAAATGGAATGGGTGTGGCTCATTAGCATATTTGGAAAAAGAATTTTTTACGAATAATTTGGCGCCACAAATTTATATTGGTTGCAGGTCCGATATTTGGTTAATATCGACATTACCCGGTTAATCTCAAGAATAACACACAAGACATCCAAAAACAAAATCAAACCCAAACATTAACCGGACATATCGGACTTTAACCGCAACATATACAATATAATAATAGATTCAAACAATATAATACTATAGATACAAGCAATATTAAAAATTGTTGATTTGTTTGTTTAGGTTTGGTTTGGTTTGGTACAGTTGAGGGTTGGAACCTTTGGTGTTACACAGCAAAATAAAAACACTAAATCACCACAATACACCAAAACACTTTTACTTTTACACTGGACACGCGTTTCTCTAACCATGTTAGCATCATAAACAGATGATCATAAACTGAAAAACAGTTTGGTTTGGTTTGGATGATCATAAACTTTTTTTCAGTTTATGATCATCTGCTGATGATGCTAACATGGTTAGCGAAACGCGCGTCCAGTGTAAAAGTAGAAGTGTTTTGGTGTATTATGGTGATTTAGTGTTTTTATTTTGCTGTGTAACACCAAAGGTTCCAACCCTCAACTGTAATAATAAGAAATCTATACTAATATATAAAATCCTTAAGTGACTGACATACTGATTAATCACGATCCAAACCAGAGTTGAGCTCAAACCACTCAACGTAAGAAGCTCAATTTTGGCATACAGGTTGATTCTAAGGTGTAGAGGTTCGATAAGAAGGGATTTTTCGAAATTCCAGTTCCAAGAGGGTGAAACCACCCCTCAAATATTACAATATTTTTTATTTAAAAACGGTCAAGTATCCGAAAAAACGCTTAAACACATATATTTTATTTTATTTTTTTACATATTTTAAGATTTTTTAAAAATGTATACAGGGTGTTTCGAAAAATCTGGTCATTGATTTATCACGATCCTGCTTAAAGCGCTTGACGTAAAAAGCTGATTTTTGAAAAATATATTGACTTTAGGGTGTAGGGGTGCGATAAGAAGGGATTTTTCGAAACTCGAATTCTAAGAGGGTGAAAGTCTTAATTATCATACGTAGAGACGAAAATAGCAAAAGTCAAAACGACTATGTTTATACTTATTATTTCATTAGACTTAATCAGTAGGACTATTCCTCAACATATAATTTTGATGGTTAGATTTATTCGACGACCAAAAATTTAATTAAGAGATATGAACGAATATTACGGATGTCATTTTATATCTTAAGGAGCAAGGACAGGGAATACATAAACCATGGCATTGTTAGTACCTATATTCATATTGAGACAGATGAATAGTCCTCGGTGAGTTATATAGCCTCTTTTGTTCCTCACTAAAAGGGCCGACTCATTAGCATATTGAATAATTAAAAAATCTCAATTAGAAATTCTTTTTAGGTTGAGAAGGGTAAAGCCCACGTAGATTAATTGTGTCGTAAAACCATTGTGTTGGATTGGTGGATAATTTATGAATCACGAAGACTTCTTGTTGAATTCGAGTTCCTAATTTAATATATTTAAACAATTAACAATAGAAAACATCTGCATACCACGGTGTGTATTTTAGCTGCTAATTAAATCGTTTATTTTGAAAAAGGAAATTTTGACTTTTGCATAAATTTTGCAATACATAATTTTTAACTTTTAACCCAAGTAATGAATTTTAAAAAAATATAATGCTTAGTTTCCGAGATACAGGGTGTAGAAGTTTCACTTTTATTTCGATTTTTTCCAAATAATTTCTGAAGTAACGTCAATATTTGGATGAAAATCGGTGTGTGGGAGTTTTTTTGACATGGGAAATTTGATTTTAATGTCAATATGATTCCTACTTGTAGAGGGCGCCACCTACATATTTTTTAACTGGTTTGAAGAGTAACAATTTTAGTCCGTACCTGTATAAAACTACTGGGTAAAAATATATATATTTACGACGTTTTTTACATAAAAAAGGTCTCTTCGTAAAGATCATTACGAGTAATGGTTCTCGGGATATTTGGAATCTAAATTGTCAATTCCTGTCATCATTGACATAAATTAAACATGTTGACTAAATAGTTATTAGATTGAAATCGTAAATTTGAACTATTTTTGTGCCAAAATTTCAACGGAAACTGTTTTATCGACATTTTTTCGAAGAAAAATTTACGATTAATTTAAAAAAATAAAAAGTTTCCAAATTTATTATTTCAGTCAAATAACTATCTACTCAACATGTTTATTTTCTGTTGATAATGACATGTGTTGACAATTTCCATTCTAAATATCTTGAGAACGGTTGCTCGTAGCGATTTTTACCAAGAGACATTTTTTACGCAAAAAGGTCTCTTCGTAAAAATCACTACGAGTGACAGACTCTCGAATCACAACTTGAGATATTTGAAATCGAAATTATCAATATCTGTCATCATTGACATAAATTAAACATGTTGACTAAATAATTATTAGACTGAAATCATAAATTTGAAATGTTTTTGTCGCAAAAATTCAACAGAAACTGTTTTATCATTTTATCGTTTTTTCGAATTTAAAAAAATAAAAAGTTTCCAAGTTTATCGTTTCAGTCAAATATCTACTCAATCACTCAAAATGTTTATTTTTTGTTAATAATGACATGTATTGTCTACTTCCATTCTAAACATATTGAGAACGGTTGCTCGTAGAGATTTTTACCAAAAGACATTTTTTACGTGGAAAATCACGGAAATGTATATTTTTACATTCAGTAGTTTTATACAGGTACGGACGAAAAGTTATTACTCTTCAAACAGTTAGAACACATGTAGGTGACACCCCATACAAATAGGAGTTATATTGACATCAAAATAAAATTTATCATGTCAAAAAACTCCTAGATATCAATTTTCATCCAAATATTGACGTTACTTCAGAAATTATTTGGAAAAAATCGAAATAAAATGAGACTTCTACACCCTGTATCTTCGAACCTAAGCATTTATACATTTATACGAACTTTTTTACTTATCTTTATCTCAGAAAATGCTGCGGAAGTTTCCGGAGTACAGTTCGGACCACCCTGTATATGTATTTAATAGATATTGTTAAACCACCATTAATCTTAAGGATATCATCACGATAACCAACACGTAATATCTGTACAATATTACTGAAAAAAAATCTCACAAAACAATAAAAAAGATTTAATTTAACAACATTGGGATACGTTAAAATTCTACGATGACTCTTTGAAATATATTATATCTTTATAAAATAGGGTCTAATCTTATACATCAAGAGAGGGAACTTAGGTGTCTAATATTTTGTAAACTACTCAGACAAATAAATATTTCAGTAACTAATTTATTATTTCAAAAGTTTCACGTGAGATTACTAAGTTCTGTTACATATGGAAACAGGAGAAACCCTGCAAACTTTCTTAATCCGTCTAAGGTTCGTAAAGCGCTTAAGTTTTGTATGGTAAAAGAAAGCTTCTAACTTGCAGTGCTTTTCTCATCTGTTTAGATGGTTTCCGTATTATTCCGTAGTTATATATTTTAGATAGTTTTAACTATCTACATTTCAATTTCATTTATGAATAGGTATATTGATATTGATCATATTTAATAACTTTAAAATACCGAAAATGTTGAACTTTCCTATTTATACAAGTTAAAAGTTAACTAATACGTATTTTTTAGCAAACTTCTGACGGTTGCTTACATATACAAATGTGACCATTTTTGTAAAAATTTGAATCAGAAAATAGAAACACCTGCTGAAACGAAGAACTACGTTATATCTACGATTGAAAGAATTGGGGAGATACGCAATCTAATGGGCGAATTCGCGACAAGGCTGATTTCATTTTCCCTTACGTCTCAAGTGCTGTACGGTGGAGACACCAATCGTTCTGCGGTCAACGCATAAACACTTACTTTCTCTAATTCGGCCCTCGAAGAGGAGCCACTAAATTAATCAAGCTCTGACGTTGCCACTTCGGGAAACACTAAATGAAACCAAAGCACCCACTTTTGATTGCATTGGTTTAAACATTTTCGTTTGTTTTATTTCGTGTTTCTCTGTTATGTATCAGGGGATGTACGTGAAATTTAGCAACATCGACAGCCATGTTATTACTGGTGCGAGACGACCATTGAATATTTGTATTAATGGCAACGTTGGGGCGTGCTTAATTTAGGTGCTC